CTCAACGTTGCCTCCTGCCACTCGCTTGGAATTAGTTTCATAACGTGGCAGATATTTAATAGATTTTGCCAGTGATTGTCTATTTGGAGCGCGTGGGGGGCCGAATTACTGTATAGGGATTCTTTGAATTGTTTAACTTTGGATCCGAGTGAATATATCGCCTCGAAGAGCCAAAACTCGACTGGTTCCGCCATGTTATAAAGGATCTGAATCTTTTGGAACAGGTATGCATTCGACTTGAGCTTGATATCGACCATGTCGATTCCGCCCGTCTCCACGGGTAGGAGAAGCGTTTTTCGCGCGATACACTCCAATTTTTCGGGGTGCCATAAGAAGTTAAAATAGACAGATTAAATTTTGTTTAGATAACGGATCGGTATGATAAGCGATTTTGCTTCCAGGAGTACTAAGGTAAAACGAGTGTTTGAATTACTGTTCGTTTTCCTCGCCATGTCAAATGACGCGTTCTGGCTCTGCTCAAGATTCCAGACATTTTACGGATTTTTTCCTCCCATATTTGATTTTTCACGCCTTTTCCAAAATGGACCCCTAGAATTTTGACCGTCTCGCGTCGATATTTCTCGTATACAGCATTCACAAGGGATCTCTCCGCCTCTTTGTTCACACAAAAAATCTGCGACTTTTCCATATTTAGAGATTGGCCCGTTGCACGTTGAAATATCATTAGCTCTTTAAAAATTAATTCTATCGAATATACGGATCTTGTAATGAAACTAGTGTCGTCGGCAAATTGTTGAATTTTTTCTTCCTTTTTTCCTAATTTGATTCCCTTAATGTAACTGTTGTTGATTATTGCTCTAGTCAGTGGCTCCACATTAAGAGTGTAAAGGAGCATGCTCAAAGGACAGCCTTGTCGAATTCCTCTCCTAATTCGTATTTCGGGTGTGAAAGCACCATTGAGCTCGATAACGCTCTTGATTTCTGTATAAAGGTCTTTTCTTAGCCTATACAGCCTTTTCCCCACGCCAATTTTAACCAGGAGTTTGAGTATAAAATCGTGGTTCACCATATCAAAAGCTTTTAATTGATCAAGTTATGGGAATTTTATTTTTATTTGAATATCTAACAATACTATCTAAATTTCTATGGATGTCCGAAATTTGTCTGCCTGGGATTGAAGCTTTTTGGACGGGATTAATTATATGGTCGAATTTTTGGCGTAGACGGTTTGATATTAGTTTGGCTAGAATCTTGTAGTCAGCATTTAAATTTGAAATTGACCTCCAGTTTTTTAAGTTTGCTTTGTTTCCTTTCTTGTGTATAAGAATCACTCGCGCGTGCCTCCAACTATCTGGAATTTTTCCGAATGCCAAGACATTATTAATAACTTGGGTAAACTGTTTCTTTATTTCATTCCAGAACGTTAGATAAAATTATTTTCCCAGGCCATCGATTCCCGGAGATTTGTGATTTTCCAAACTTCTAATAATTTGAAGAATTTCATTTTCTGGGACCAGACCGCCTAGCTCCTCTATATCCGGTTGCGTTAGAGATGGTTCCGACATAAGATTTAGATATCTGGTCTGTGACTCATGATCAGTGGTTGCTGCTGTTCCCCATAGTTTTTTTCATAGAACTCGAAAGTTTTGTTTATTATGATTTGAGGATCGTCCGTCGTCTAACTGTAACTTTTGAATTGAGCGTTGCCTTTCCCGAGTAATTATTGCCTCATAAAAATATTTTGTGGGTTTTTCGTCATTTTCCGCATTCTGTACTTTCGAGACCGTTTTTAAAATTTTTTATTTGTGGGACATTATGTTTTTCAACTGATGTTTTATTCCTTCGGTTGGAGTCAATGTTGATGTTCCTCGCGTGTAGTTTTTTATTTCGTTTTCAAGTTTTATTTGTTCTGCCGCAGCGATGTTTTTTCGTCTTATACCGTAAAAGATTGATTCCTTTTTGATCTTCTCTTTCACATGATCCCACCAATCCAGTATGTTGTCAAATTGATCGATTTCTTCAAGAAGAAGAAGACCGTATTGGTTTTTGATAATGTCGCGAAATACCGGATTTTTACAGTGGGCGGTATTATTCCGCCATACGCCCTTTCCCCATATCAGCTTCTGATAGTTGTTTATTTCTATGGCGGGAAATAGAGTATGATCTGATATAAGATTTGGATGGTAGTGGAACGCCTTGATCTGAGTTTCTGGGTTTTCCGAAATGTAAATTATGTCAATACGACGAGCCTGTTTCATACGTTTTATAGTGAAGACTGGTTTGTTTGGATAGTTATCATAGTACGGATCAATAAAATTAAAGTCTTCAATATACTGCTTAAAAATTTGCTCGCCTTTAGACAATTTGAAATTCTTGGTACATAGGACATCGTTTTTTTCGGTAACTACATTAAAATCCCCAGCCATTAGATCTAAGCTTTCTTTCTCGGCTTTAAGGACATTGGTTAGGTTTGTGAAAAAGTCCGTTTGTTTTTTACTTTTGCTGTACGGGGGTCCATATACATTTATTAACTTGATCTTTTTTCCTAAATGTCCGAACACCAGGGTGTCTACTCGATTTCTAATTAAAATTTTGTAGTCAACATCACCACACGCAGTTTGGGTTGCCATCATAACGGCAGTGCCGGCTCAAAAATTCTTGGAGTCTGCATTAAAGTGCACTAAGGTGTTATAAATGACTTTATAGCCAAGTTCTGCCGCCCATTGATCAATTTTTGCTATATCTAGTCTGTGCGCCTCCTGTAAGAGTACAAAATCGGGCTTATATACTTTTAGTGTAAATTCGAGTTGACCTAGGTGGGACGAGATACCATTTACATTTAGGGAGATTACCTTCATCGGTCGTATATCGGATTGTATTGCTGTTGTATGCTCGGGGGAGTTTTAAAAGTCTTTTCCTTTTTTAGCTGTTGGTGAGGGGTTTGAGGATGTTGATGATGACTTGGTTTGAGCTCTTTCTCGTTTGTTTCGGTTGGGTGATCTGGTTATTTTCGATTCGTCTGATGTGTCAGAGCCTGTTGTTGAGAGGGCTATGTCCTCTGTGCCTAAGCAGGCAGGTGCGGAGGAAGTTTGCGGAATATCAGAAAAGACGGACGAAAAGGAGGCTGATTGCGACTCGTATTCCGGGATTTTAACTCGAAAGTACGAGGTGCCTGAGTAGACGGGACGAAGAGGGGTGTTTCCGATGGTGGATGTGGGTTTAAGATTTGGTTTGCGAGGTGCCACAGGGGGAGGTGTAGCGGGATACTGCGGTAATGTGTTAGATTCCGGGCTGAGTGACCAATCCTCAGTTTCTCTACCTTCTACATCTATGTTTTCCGAAGGTGTGATGTTTTTCAATGGTGTGCTGCCTAAGGTGGTGTTTCTCGTAGCATTCAAGATGGGGAGGGGAGTGGAGGTCTCCGTTTGTGTTACTGGTGTTATTTGCAAAGTTGGGTTGATTTTTAGTTGTGGTTTTGTGACGGTTGTACTTTTAAGCCAAGATCCTATGGTATTGTGATTATCTTTTTTATTTTCGGGACAATTTTTCTTGACGTGACCCTCCTTTAAGCAACGTCGACATTTTTTTAACGGCGGTACAGTTTCTTGCCGTGTGACCCTGTCCCAGGCAATTTAGGCACGTTGGTATGTACAGATCCGAGGACAGGTAGGTTTTACATCTCATACCGTGTATATTGAGGAAGGGCGGCAGTTTGACAGGGTCGAATTCCGAGATCCACGCCGCGATGTATCCGTTAAAAAGTGAGGTTCCGCGATGGTATTGTTTACTTATGTTCCGTAATTTGCCACAATTAACTTTAATTAAAGCGTCCAAGACTGATTGGCGTTTCGCTTCATCTGGCACATCTTTGATGCTGATTCGCGTTGGAGGCTTTGTCGGGAAAGAAACGAATGTTTATTTCACCTGTTAAGAGTATATTGTTGTTTTCACGTGGAAATGCGTCTCGCATAGAGGCGTTTTCGTTATTTTGGTCCAGTTGTTTGAAGGACATTATCCATTCCCTCGGCCGAGTTTCATATAGAGCCGTAAGGTGTTCCACGTATTTTTCCGTGGTCGCCGATTTTGTCAAGACATCGAAAAGGTCTTTAAAATCAATATCATGACTTACCTCAGCAACCACTGAACGCGGTCGGTTTCCTCGCTCAATACTTTGGTTGTTAGAGACCGCTGCCGAGTAGTCCATATCCTTTGTTTTTGTATATCCAACGGGTTCGTCTCCAGAAAAGGTATATTCGATTACATACAAACAGCCAAGTAACTGATCTAGTACTTAATCAAAACAGCAATAACGTGTGTAAGCAGTGGGCGTAATATTTAACCTTTAATTATGTGTTTCAATTCGAATACCTTTGCTTATTAGATTTTATACTCTTTTACTGCTGTCTGAGCTGCCTATGAGAGCCAAACGCGGATGCTCGACGATTCATAAGAAAATCGTCATTGTCATAAGCGAAGCGACACCACAATCACGTATCGTATTTGATCAATGCGGGGCGCAATAACAGATTTTATTCAACTAAGCAGCGCCAAAGTGACTAACCACTTTGGGCAGCACCATCCAAGATTGACGGGATGCATGAAGTTTTTTTTCACCACAAGTCCTAAGAAGAACAACATAATGAAATAACAAACGTCATTATTTAATGCGAGCTCCATTTGTCTACTTTACTCTTTCTTGCGTGGCATACATTTGCTCCCAGCGCATGAGAAGTCATCCATGGGCGCAACAGATCGGTCTTCTTTCAACTCGAGTCATTAGGGATGATAACCCTTAAGCCAGAAGTTCAAAAGATAACAAAATCAGCCACACCTCCCCAGCTAAGAACTTCCTTCGATCAAAAAACATAAAAAATGTCCTTCGGTACCACCTGGAATACCTTCGCGTACAACCGGTTTGAAACTACTGCCCCCAATTTATAATTAAATTCCAGTAGAATTGGGAGCTGCCACACTAACCACAATACCTTGATAAACCATCCCCCACATCCAGTCATTAGTCACTCAAATAAGAACTCTGGTTTCAGGGTTGAGGTCGCAAACAAATTTACTAAAATGTTTTAAACATGCACAACATAATAGTGCAGAGCAATAACCTTGGAGCTAGGATAATGAAATTGAACTAATGAAATTATAGCATGTATAGAAAAAGTCAAACCAGGTATTGTCAAATCAGATCACAAAATACATTTAATAAATAAATAGCGATCATTTGGTTCATTATCTATAATTTTCCTTGTGCAGCCAATTTGGCCCGAAGACTCTCTGGCATTTCTGGTGGTGGAGGGCGAGGGAGGCGGAAATACACTTTAACAGAATCGTAAATAAACCACTGGAGTGCTGTCAACGTACCAATCATAATGATACGGGCTGTGAGACCTTTCCATACACCTGAAAAACAAAATTAATAGGGGACATGACTATTGAACAAAAACAAGAAAAATTGTTATAGAGGTTTTATTAATACGGGCCTAAATTGTGGATTATACATATCATCAGAGCGTACAACATGTAACATAATATACATGAAAAACCTAGTTCATAAAAAGGATCGATTACAATATGGGAAAAGGCATGTACAACTATAGCAGCATTACATACATAAGTAGTTATTTACCTTTCGAATAAACTTTCACTCTAATTACCATAGAAACTAGTTTGAGATTCATACTGCTGCACCAAATTAGATAAAATGGTTAGCGTAGATGGAATTTTTACAAATATCCAATGATTTTCAATTTATGAAAGTAATAGTATTGGAATATATGTTGTGATCATACATTGAAGTAATCAGAAAATTGAAGAAAACTGGAAATATTCATACCCATTGGTCCTAATTTCTTGAGTGCATCAATAGGAGAACTTCCAGCATCTTTATTCAGCAAAGACACAACGGAATCAGCTGGATGAGACACAATGGCACAGAATACACCAGCAATATAACCAGCAACGAATGTAACGACCAGTTGCTCAGATTTGCTACATTCGGCCCGAGGCTTAGGCACAACAAACTTGTAAATAGCCTCAACAGTTCTTTCAAAGCATGCAAATTTCATCATGGTGTAGGGAATTTGCCTCATCCAAAGTGGAACCAATCCCTTGTAAAAGGCGCCGACTCCTTCAGCTTCTTTCATTTTAGGGAAAGCCTCACGGAGAGTGTTGGCAAAACCTGGCTGAGTTTGGATACGTACTTTGCATGCCTCCATTGGAGCAAGAGCAATATCAGCGAAGAATTCAGCAGATGCACTAGCCGCTAAGTACAGACTTGTTCTCCAGAGAAAAGCATTTTCTTCACCCAGTAAATTTCCATACACATTTTTGAAAACTTCATAGAATCCAAACTTGCAAAGACCTTGCATTGAATAACCAATAAGTGTTGGCGCCCAACCTTTTGCCAAACCTTTAACACCATCTTCGCGTATTGTGACTTTAAAACCAGTGAATATTCCCTTGTACTTCGCTGGGTCAACTTGGATTCTACATTTCACAAGATCGAGAGGGACAATCGCAGTGTGTGTGAGACCACAGCTTAAAATTCCACCAAAACCGCAGATGGCATAATATTTTGCAGAGCCGAACTCACAACTATCCCCCGAATCTGCCACTGCTAATCTTCTGGTAACCTCGGTGGTATGAGCTTCTGAAATATTAGCAAGCTTGGAATTTTCTTGACATAACGCCTTCACGTTAGGAGTGCCGAAAACATTGCTCTTTACTACGTCGAAAACTGAATTGACCATTGCGATTTCTCAGGTCTTTCTTTTGAAGAGTAAACTGAAAATAACCAAGAAATTAAAACTAAACCAGTGCGACCGCAGCCCTGACTTTTATATAGCGGAAAGCAAGGTCGTGAAGTGCTCTCGCGAAGAATAAGAAACCACCTTGGAGAATGACCTGCGACGCTCTACCGAAGTGTTATGTCATCTATGTCCGTAATAAAATTTTCGTCGCATTTTTTGAATAATTATCAATTAGGTTAGTTCAAATGAGTCTGTGTTAGAGATTTTATAAATGTTCACATCTTTTTTTGCAATACAATACTTGAATTTTCAAATATATCGCATATCGAAGATATAAACATGCTTGGAGGATTGGATTAATCTGGCAACTGCAATTTGCGTATCCGCTGACGCAATCGATTTCGCAACAATGAGCCGCGTAATCACTCGAGTGACGCACAGTAGACAAGTAGCTTATTCTGAACTGAATTGATAAAAAAAATAGCGCCTTTACTCAAAATATAATGACGAAGTTAAAAAATTTAAATTCAAATATGCAATTTATTTTCATGATTCGTTCATATTCAATAAGTCGATGATTACAATAATTCAGATTTCGAAAGCTTAATTTTGTCGAAATGGAAAAGAAAAGTACAAATGTATTATGAAATGAAACTTAATTAAATAATGTATAATGAAGTGTTTGTAGACCTGGATGTTGATTTTAGATTTCAACGAATTATATGACAAAAACAATTTGGCTTAAACAGTGTTAATAAATGTGAACAAGAGAGCAACGCTCAAATATATGGACACGTGGACTAGAGCGAAGCAGGGTTTACCTTTGACGTTACCGGTACCCTAAAAAAAATCCGGGTTTTCAGTCGCAAGAATTTTCACAGTCAGCTGTCACGCTTGGCGGATTAAAAACCGTGTTCCCAAAATTAAAAATTAATACAGCGCAATTTTGGATGAAATATTAGATCTCATAAGATTCATAGAAAATTCAGGAATAAATGAAAGTAATAGCCTTCTGGCAAAAAATCAATCTTGAGCCACTGAAAATTCCAAAGCAATTGGTCCAGTATTCGAAGAGAAAAGCGATTTTTTAATGATAATGACGAAAGAAAATAACAATAACAACAAAATTTTGAAACGATCGTTATGGCCACTAAACGTGTCCAATAATCTCTGCTAAGTTTAATATTTCTCGTAAAAATATCGTCGCTGTACGCAGGACTCTCGAGAAATATGGGTCCGTTTCCCACAACACTATGATGTTATAAACATAAAGGACCCATTTTCATATTATTTCGGTACTTATGAGGTAACGTTAGTAGTTTGTTTAAATGTGCTATACTTGGTAGTCTATATATCGGTACCTTATTAATAAAATTAGTATTTTCACATTTCATAACGACAATGTGATTTGTCCATACTCGCGCAATAATTAACAGCTTGGATTCACTTTGATCTTTATATATTAGTTATCAATTTTGCCTGTTAAACTTGAACTGACAACTTTTACACCAGCGATGCAATAACGACTCGCTGTTTTGAGTACGCCAAACCTAATGTTGGTTGAAATATCAGCTATTCAGAAGCCTTCATTTCGAAGGACTTGGTAGTTTAAAACACTTGGGGATTGCATTTATGAGCGAGTATTTATCCAACTATGAATATGAACATAACTTACCTTTTATTTACAAAATGCCGCAGCTTACCGTTTTGCTCGGCGAACCCTACTTTCTGACATTCATCACGAATAAGTAAATGATAATTATTATGGTACTAATTCTTATGTGACGACATAATCACATTGTGAAGTCATAGCCTTCTATTTTGCATTAGGCCTTTTGCTGCCAGCCAGTGTTTCGTATTCAGACACTCCTATTTTCCACAAAGATTCATTTTTGAAACTCGGTGGCATCTGCATTTGCTGAGGTGTACATTTCGTCCGATTACTGTGATATCTATTACATGGGGCTGAGATTTTCAGGGAAAATACTGTCAACGTTGACCGGGCAAAATTAACAGGTATCTTAGTCGTTGGGTTAACCGCAGCGTGATGTTTGACGTAACAAGTTTTAATTTAGGCGTGTTACATCCACTTTCAAAGCAATTTCGCGTGATCTTACCCCAGTATATTTCGAAATCATTCACCGATCGAGATAGTTTCATGATCGCTCTACTGCATGGAAAGATTTTAGTAAACCCCATTTCGATATTACTGCGATTTATGTGACAAAACTTTCAGTGTTCAATCGGGAGACATATTTGCGATGAAATAATCATTTTTGAATAAATTGTACAGTGAGGTGATTTCTACCAGAGATATCAGTTAACGGACAAAATAAATGGTAACTATTAACCATCCAAAATCGGTGAACCGATTAATTATTCCCAGCAATGTTAATTACTTGATTAGCTCCGAAATCGAGGAAAAGTTCGCTTAAAAAGAAAAAATTTCAACAGTCAACAACTGACTTGGGGTGTTTAACTAAATAGGAATGTTCGTTCGCTCTTGTGGTGGATGTAAGAAGTAATGATGCTTTACGACATAGGTTCTCAAAGTGCTACGTACGGAGCCCCAGGGCTCCGCGAGATAAACCCAGGGGCTCCGCGAGCTATTCTATTACTTTTTAAAATACCGACTTGGCTAATTTAAAACTATTCCTAGAAGCAGTAACAGCTTTAATAAAATTTGACAACAATATAGCCTAGAAATATGGCAAAGCGGCGGAATTAAAAAATGACATTATTTATAAGCAGGAGCGCAGCCAGGATTCTTAAGAGGGAAGAGGTTAAAAATTGGAATCGGAAATTTACGCGTAACATTCTTGGCGATTCAAAAAAACGGATAACGAGATTTCTGTTGCGTAAAATATTCAATTCATGTCCGATGCGAGCATTTGAAGTATCTTATCGTAATAATTTAATTGTGCTCATCGTTACTCACGTTCGATTCGAGATTACTGTTAGTGTTAGGATTACTGAAATGAAAAAATACTATTCTAAAATAACATAAACTGCCAACTACAAATAAATTGGAGTCGTATTTTTGCGATCTTGGGATTTGTTAAACTTGATTTTTTCTTTCGCACTCGATATCATTTTTAAGCAAGATATCGCCGTTTGAAAAATCACAAGGTCTTGGAAAAATACGAACGATTGAAATTTATTTTAGCGCATGCGGCTCCGTCGGTAGTTTCAGAATGGAAAAATGGTACATCGCGCGCATAATTAATTGACTGTGTTTCAATTTCGCAGTTACTACGATGCATAACCGAAGAAAACCTAACATAACACCAAATTTTGGGATTTACAATGTCTATAAGAGCGTTTTTTTCTCACGTGAGTCTGCTGAAACAAAACTTATAGTGCTATCTTCCATTTTGAGTTTGGTTCTAATATTTTAGAATGCCGCTCTTTAATCAAGAAATTTGAATTGCCGATTTACCTCTTTATTAACTATTATTTTTAGCATTTGGTCGGCGATGATTATAATATGGTTACATGTTTTTCACATTGAACTCATAATTCCCCACGAGAACGAAAAAGCAATTATCGTCGTCATTGTGGAACAATACATGTATATGACGAAGGAAATTTTGATTCAGGGAGAATAAACACCTGCGTAAAGATGTTTGAGGTTTAAGTCTTCCAAAAATGTCAAGAGGGGAAAAGATTCAACCCCTAATTTATTAATATGTTTGTCATGTGCCAAATTTACAGCTTCAGTATATACAACTTATCTTTGAAATTTAGATTTATTTATGACTTGTATTAACCTTATTAAAAGGGTTTAGTATATAAATTGAGTAAAGTACGTTTAACTTACTCAGGAATATTAATCGGAAAGTATCAATTTTAACATTATTCTGGGGCTCCGTGAATAATAGTCAACCTTTTCAAGGGCTCCGCAACACCAAAAGTTTGAGAACCCCTTCTTTACGAGACCCGTAGAAAAATTAAACAAAGAACCTAGAACAGTTTTATTTGGCACTCAAAAGTACCAAACATACATCAGCTGAGGCTTATTGTGCTTTTCTTTTTAAATAAACACATATACTTTTAAATTTCAGCCTATATGTGTGGGTGTGTACAATTTTTTTAGACAGGAAAATTCCCAATTTCGATTTAGTAGTTTCGCAGATGCACAAAATTCGAACACAACGCTCGCCAAAACGTTTTAACTAAGCGAAGTCTTGTTCAGACTTGAGCTTGTTCGAGTTTAGAACTGCTACGTTATATAATATCTAAAATACGCAAGTAAAAGTCTAGCTAGTGCAATTCACAAGACAGAGTGCGACACAACAACGATATGTACTGTAATTAAATGAAGTACTGTAAACAGGCATATGGCTTACGTTCGGCGGCATGGCGCGATAGCGACAGAAGATATACAAGCGACCTTTGACCATGATTGTACTGACCGTAGTTTACTACTGGTTGGACTATCGATGACTTGCTAAACGTATCGTACAGCAGTACAAAAATAGGTGGAAATGAATTATACAAAGTTAAAATTCTGAAATTCTTGAGGAAAAAAATTCAAGATGGTACAGTAGGCTAGTACCGGTACGTACCTGTACGGTATGGTACCATACCGGTACCGGTACGCGGTACCGATAACTAAAATATAATTTCAATCAATCTATTCAATTTTGATATTTGTTGTCTATTACCGGTAGACTACCTCTGACCACGTTTTCTTCCTGTAGATTATAGAAAATGTACCGGTACCGTACCGTATATTCAGATATTGTTTTTATACTGTTACTGGTACCGTATTGCTTGGCTTGGAGCCTACCGGTACCTACGGTACCGGTGTTTTTCTGTTTCCATTTTTTACTGATTATAGTCTACTGTCTGACTGTTTTCGTTAGCATGTAGTCTAGTTCTACCATTTATAAGTAAATTTTAAATTCATAAAAAGATGATGAATAAATTGATTTCTCACTGAAAAATTGAGTGACAAAATGACAACTCCAACGACTTCGTCCAATGATCAGACTTCTAATGATGGGAATATTGTCCAATCAACAAAAAGTAAAGCAACTTTTCAACTATTAGTTTTCAACTTTTCATTTCACTTTTTGCAACTTATTTACATGCTTTACAACTCTTTGTTGTGTATGATTGCTGGATTGTCACATTTTATTGATACAGCATGGCACATTATACAGATTGAGCGACATTGTCTCATTTCAGAGAAACCACTTTTTATTGATGATCAGACACCCCTCCTTTGGGAGATTTCTGGACATTGTTGTCCCTCAATATCGGTAAAAATACAGTATATTGAAGTTGCGCAGATTACTACAAAAAAGCACAATCTTGCGATTGATTCAAATTATTATCGCGACGAGCATGGCTCAATCTGACTAATCTGCTGTCATGCCAGAAGCCCTTGTTTCGGTGAAAAACAGTGTGTTTGTTTTATTGAACCAAATAATCTTGGAATCGAGGGACTGTGCGCTACTGTAGTACAGAAATTGGAGTACTCCTGAAGTATGCGCACCAAGATGTCCCACAAACTGAACCCTAACCTTGTACACAACCTGAGTTCAGGTTGTGCGCCATCTTGGTGCGCATACTTCAGGAGGTCCGAAATTGGTTATGAATCTAGTTGAGTTTTCAAGTCATTTTTCATCATTCAGATGTGAGATATACTCATTCATACCATTGTATTTGTACATTTGATTGGATTATAATATATTTCACAATACCTTGACAATGTTTTTTTTTGGTTATCCGTGTGAAATTAGGCAAACTGTCGTCAGTACTAAAATAATATATTATTTTGGTAACTATATATTACAGGATTTATCCTATACCATTTTTATTTTTTTTTAATCGGGTTGGCAAAAATTGCCAAAAATTGTTCTCTCAAACCACAAGCTATAGCCATAATTGCATCAATTTTTGTTGTAATCTCTACATATATCCTGTATTATCACAAGTGATATTTGAGATTTATTGTTGGTTTTCATTTTCAGGTGTTCAGAGTCCTATCATGGCTGTAAATCTACCATCAAATATATCCAACATTCCATTAGGATTACAAATGTCTGGACTTAGTGCTTTACAAATGCCTATAGGGGGGATAAACAACCAACAGATTGGTGTCATTTCAAATCCATTGACTCCAATGCCAGGTATGTTGTATGTATGCAATTGCAATGGATGTTTCTCGACCCTTGACCCCCAAGAAAATCAATGATATAGAAGTGAACAAGGTCGAAGTCGATGCTCTGGGAAACATCCATTATGAAAATTGCGTGATTTATGTAGAGTAGTTGTTCCCAACCTTATTTTCAAGCGAGAAGCGACCCAAATGTTTTGAAAAATAACTTTTGTGAATCTCCCGACCCAAGTGTATGCTCAGATATTAAACGGCATGTAGTTCTTGTATGACAAAATAGATGCTGCAAAGAAGTAAAATAGAAAAACAAGTGTCCCAAGAGAATGTTTAGGCGACCCAAACTGAGTCGCAACACATAGGTTAGGAAACACTGGTGTAGAGCATAAAGAGCAGTCTGGTATTACCGTTGATGAAAGGCAGCATCAGTAGTATGAAATAATACGAACCCCTACATAATACTATATCCCTAAGATATTGTCAATTCAAATGTTATAACTGCTTAAATATCTACTAATGCTCGATAGATATCCTTTACCTAAATAATGTTTTGTTAATTGTTACAGTGATCCCACAGCAATTTCAACAAAACACAGGAGGTGGGATTATTGTACTCAATGTTGGGGGTGGAAACAATCTGGCGGCAACCATTAATCAGCTAGGTAAGGATTAATATATATTTTGTTCATCATACTAAATCCCGTCTTTGTAGTATAAACTTACATTTTAGCAACTGAGATGATAGTTTGGTTAATCGGTCCTATTTATCTGAAATCAGAAAGTTTTACTGCCTAGTATAGTAATTGGTTGAGAATCTGGTTGAATTTTCAAATCACTTTATAGACTTCAATGTTAGGCATTCTTACTGATACTGTTTTATGTGCTATTGGTCTCGTGTACATCAGTAGTAAGTAAAAGATATAAACCCAGATTTTAGAGTCGAGTCAAGTCATGGGAACTCGAGTAAATCACTGAGTTGATTCTAACTGGTGATAAGTTGAGTAAGAGACCAAGTCACTTCATTTAGATAGCTCTAGCCACTAGAGCAGCGTTTCACCACCTTTTTTGGTCGCGAACTATTTTAATGAATTTCAATAATTTCAATATTCCATAAATGGCCTTTTCTGTCGCACAATATTCAATCCATGACAACGACGAGAATTTAAAATGTCTTTATATTTTAATTAATTAATTGTGTTCATGATCACTCGCGGTTGCGTCGACTTTTGACAAGATGGAATCATTACTTCTTTAAAATGCCACGGCAATCTGCGAACATAATAATGTGAGATTATAGTGCTCGAATTTTGATATATATATTTTTTTTGCGATCTTGTGAATTTTTATCGCCGTAAAAAAAATCCAATTATCTGCTGTAAATTTCCAGAAAGTATAACTTGATTGAGTACTTTCAAAAATATAATTAAAGTATATTAGTAAATCAAAAAAAAATATTCATCGCCTTGCTTTAATATTAATTTAATTGTGATAATTTGATAATTGTGATATTAATGATATTTTGTTTTGATTCGTCTTTTTGTGTATTCGACAAATCTGAGCTGTTCGTACAATACTTATGGCAGGGGATGACAACCTACAGCCCGATCCGGACCGCTTCACTGAAATATAGTAACAGAACAGCTGTTCTGAAGATTATATTCTTTACGTAACTTGTGAATTTATTGTGAGACGCGTGCAGACTAAATTATAATCTAACAAGTTTAAAATTCACAATGACTCGTTTAATAAGCCTATAATTTAATTATAATTAGACAAATGGCAACAAAACGCAGAAAAGTTGATGCTGAGTGCAAAAGGTTCAATGGCGCCGAAAATATTCAAATGGGATTTTTTGAGATGCAATGCAATGAGGGAATTAATCTATATTATATTCGAGAGATATATCACTGCTTGATTTTTATTACAAAAAGTATCATCCGTTCGGTTTTAATTTTCTAGAAATATGTGTGGCCCGCCAATAACTTGCAACCAGTCGTGGGATTCAGCCTGTTCGCACCGGTTCTATAGAACCGTCTCACAGAATTTTATGTTAACAGCGAACGGGTTAGCATTACCAGTTTATTTGCTGAGAAAACATGACTTTTTGTAACAGAACTGGTTGAAAAATAGGACTTTTGTTATGGAACCGGCTGACAAAAGATTTGAATCCCACCACTGCTTGCAACCCCCAATTTGGGCTGGCGAGTGAGAAAAAGTTTCCGACCCCTGACTTACGGCGTATACTACGGTAGTCGTAGCACCCGAAATTTTGCGATTTGCAATGTCTGAAAAAGCGTTTTTAATCGGTCCCAGACCACCATAAAACAAAAGTAATGGTGTTCTCAGTTTTATTTTTAGTATTTTGCTTTGCCGCTTTTCAATTTAGAAAATTTAGGTTGGCACCATTGACACCTACCAGAAAAAAAATTGTTCCGCTTTGTTCGAGCTCGCGAGAAACACCACTTATGTATCTATCCACTCGTGTTTTCGTCAGAAATCCGTAAGTGAGTTGTTAAATCCAACAGTTTGACTAAGCGACGCGCAAGTGACCTGTCACGTCACCTGTTACCAAGTTTTCGAATAGTAAATTTCTATTCTAATAGTTGAATATTCGAATATATGCCCAGCCCTACTCCGTATCCATTAATTATTGAATCGATTAATGTTATGTGAATAAACTTGCTTTTTATGTTTTATGTAAATTCTAACGTACATCGTAACTTGGCGGATGGTTAAGTTTCTGGCTCTGAATTTCTGGCTCATTGCGGACTCAAACACTCCGCGAACTCATTTGAGACCGCGGACGGGTTGGGAAACACTGCTCGAGTATTTGCTAAATGAGGTTCCCATTCAATGACTTTACCAACACTGGTATACATTGCTTAGTTTATAACATATTTCATTATAACTTAACAATTTCTTTGATACTTCTGTGTGAGATTAAGGAAGCTGATATCAGGAGTTCAATAATATACTAATTTTTTTCTTGGTCAACTTATTCAATCATAGTATATACAGTAATCATAGACAACAGGGAATTTTTCTTTATCAAATCTTTATCAAACCTGAATGGGATATCAAATCTGTTGTGGTTGAATTGTCGTCATTGATTGCATTAGAAATACCATGTGCCAGAATTTGTGTTTCAAATTTTTTAATTTCAAATGTGGAATTACCATTGTCAATTGTCATGTACCATATATCAGAGAGAGCGCTGACTGTGTCATACCTTTTAATACTGCTTTGGTTTTCACGAGTCTCATTTATAAAATCAATATATTTTTAGAAAACCAATCAAACCAACTCAACTATTCTGCATTACTAAATTAACTTGTGTATAGTGTATTTATATTGATTTGTCTGAATATCACTGAACTTTTCACATTTGATAAAATGTATATTCAATAATTCATATTCTAACATATTATTCCAGAATTTACTCCAAAGTCCTAATAGTAACTTATTCGGCTTTGGTCATCAACGCATCAGAAAACTATTTTATTTTTAACTTAATATTGAGCAATCCATATCAATGAATTTATTGTATAGGCCTACCTATGCTATAATAGCATCTGGTGTCGAGAGATCGATCAATTTTCTAAAACTTATTACAGGTCATATGGTTGTTTCGTCATTCCACACTATAGTGTACTGTGCAATCTAAGTAAATATTATATTAACCAGGGCTTGATTGTCTAACCTATTTTACAATACAGAGGAAAATAACTGGAAATGCCACAGTATTGTTGAGACTGATTTACTGTATATTTTAAGAATAAGCTAATACGGGTGTATAAAATTATTTCCTTATCAACATACATTTAAGTAATTTAAGTTAAATTACTTCACTGATTTTTACAAAACGAAACCAGATATTGCCTATTTATATAGTTGTGTCCGATATAATGTACAAAATTGAAATCAATTGTACTCCTAATATATTCATTTTGGGGTACTCTCGTAGTGTGTGTTCCGAGTTCGGGGACTGTCTGTGTTAGCTACTGGTAAGTGAATATATCCCCTACCCATATGTTACAGTCCTTTTACACTATTTGATAAAGTAGACGAACAAAATTAGTAACCTCCATATTGGTGCACACACTTCTGGAGCGCCCATTTATGTAATAGATAATGTATTAGATGAATATTAAGATTTATAAGCATACAACGATGGCCAAAGGAATTGGTTTAAAATAAATGTAAAGTTGAGGCTATTACGTAATTTTTCAGACTTAGGATAACCAAAATAAAAATATGTTCTTGTAATATTTTCCTTCTTTGTGTGAAATCATGTTTTTCTGTGTTGTGTTCTATCTGCGAAATGATCATATTGTATTTTTAAGAATGAAATTCTTGCAAGGCAGAATGTAGCCCGAATGTATATGTCACTAGAATCAGTTACCCATGTGGGTTCCTTTTACGAGGGCAACTTGAGGTCAATTACGTATTATTCAAACCCATGCCGTAACCTCTCTGTTTTTTCTGTAATTATTAATGAAATTTCAATATTTATTTAATATAAGATTATTAATGAACTGAGTTATCTAATCACCAGAGATGTTTCATGTTTGAACAATTGTACCAGACCATGTAGCTGTTTTTCCTGTATTGTCTCTTATCTTTTCTGGGATCAAAGTTCGTTGCTTGGAGGATTGTTTGCGAATAAATGATTAACATGGTTGGGCTTAACTTCACTGAGGTGGCTGTCTTTAATTTGGCCGTGCTTGATTATGTGTAAACTATTGATAACTTGGGCCGTGATGACAAGATTTTTCGTTTGCCCACGCGAGACTCGGTAATACCGAGTCGGTATGTTGAATTAGATGATAACATTTTGATTGGATCATTTATTGGTACTATCTATCACAAGATTTATTGTACACGTTCACTGCTCGTCTGTGTAACAAGTGGTTTTGCTGCCGTATTCCAGTCTGCAGTGGTAAATGTGAAAATATGTTTTATTTTGTTTTTGTGGGTTCGTATATATTACGATTAGTCGATTACTGTAACCGATGTGTTTTTTCTGTTCATAGGTTTGGTTTCATTAGGATGTGGTGCCATTACATGTTTGCAATAAGGAAAAGAATTAACGATTATTTGTATAATGTCTGTAGGAAATATGTTATTGTTCCATCAATGACTAGTGCACAGGATATTCGTGTTTATGAGCAGCCATAATTTTCTAGTTATTACAAGCATTTTTTATCCTTATTTGTTATGTTTCATAACATTAATTGTTATTGGTGTGTGTACTGTGTGTACTAAATTCAAAATTTTATGAATTTCGTTTTTGGTTCAGTCAATATTCATTGAACTATTCATTAATACATAAAGATACCAAGTTATTGATATGTGCAAAAATAGAAATTTTGATTCTAATGGTATAGATTCTATTTGATCATAGACATAATATGTAATAGTATTTATTTTGTCTGACACAGCTAAGTAAATGTTTGGTGATAGAATTTATTAGAACCGAATTGACCACTGAATAAAAAATACATAATAAATTGGATTAATTTTCCCATCTAGGCTAGTTTTCCATTGTGACTTAGATCTGGATATGAAGAACCTGTTACTGGCACCGTTAAGTGTTGACAAGAAAGCCAAAGAATTTAGTATTTAAAAAAAATATTAGGTATTGATGGTATTCATTATTCAATATTGTTTTTTGGCAATTCAGATTTGTGAAATATATGCCTTTTGGTATAATTTTCCTTATCAAGCAGAATAATGATTGAAAGTTTGCAAAATTATTTGAAAAACATGGTTTACTGACTACTGCTTTCTGTTTTGCTTAGTGGCAGATATCTGAAACAAGGAATATGGCTTTGTGACATCAACGCCATTATTTAATTAAACTACCCGCAGTCACCAATTTACATTCCTATCTTTTTGGGTTCGCAGTAAAATATATCTCGGCAATGTGGTTTAAAGTGTTTTTTATTTCATAATCCATCGAATTATGTTGATATTAAAATATATCCTGGTATACCCGATGTTGAATATATTAATGTTGTCAACTTATTCAATCTTCTCTTTTTCCAGTTGCAGGAGGATTGGTCCAACAACAACCTCAGTTATCAATAGTGCAACCAGCAGCACAAGGAATACAAATACCTTCAGTTCCTACTGCGTCCCAATCTGAGACTACTGTTACTAATGTACCTGAAACGATACAGGTAAAATATTCAAATCAGATTTTATTATCCCTTTTTTTCTTTTTTTTCGATAAATGTATAATTCTGTCATTATTCACTTAAAAAATTTGGCTGTCTTGGAAGAATAAGGGACTGTTTTTTAGCGGTGAAAATTTTTTTTATTTCTATAGGTACCTGTTACAAGCGCAAGTAATATAGCATCTGTGAGTGTGACGACATTGTCTGCCACTACATCAGGCTCTGTTTCAACCACAATGGACGCTTCTGCGAACAATTCTATGGGACATATTGTGAGTATTTCCTCCTGTATACAATCTTTTGATAAGAATGCACCGTACATTAGATTAAATAGCAATACGTTCATTTATATTTGCATACGCAGATGCCGACCCCCTGAAACGATGAATTTATTAAAAATTCGAATATAACCCGACCCTACAAATTGTAACAGGTCTTACGAGTTGTAGCTGTTGGAACTGAGTTAGCATAATGTCATTTTGTTTGAGCGTGATCAGAGTTGTACATGTATAAACCGATTTTTTAGTGTGATCAGAGTTATACACGTATAAGCTGACAAGCCCTTAGTTTGGCAATTTTCACTAAGTTTTAAACTCGACTTATATGCGAGGATAAACATTACATCTATGAACATGAAGGTCAAATCAAAATAGTCAAATAGAATTATCTATTATATTTGGTTATTGTTTCCTGCAGGTTCAGCAGCAGCCACAAATAGCTGTACCACAGACAAGTATGGTGATGAATTCTCCGATGCAGTTTTCAATTCCCTCTCAACAACCCCAACAACAGCAGGCATTCATGCTTGTTCCTATTCCTCAAATACCAGGCCAGGTATCTGATGTAAATTTTTAAGCTTTGCTATTCTATGCATTGAGTTATATCAACTGATATAAAACTAATTTCCTATCAATATTTTAAGGCCAATTTGGTTTTTCAAATTTCACATCTTAATCATATTAAACGTTATAGGATTTTACTCAAGTTGAAAATCATATCAAAGATATGTTGAAGCTTCAATAACAGTTGAATTTTCCTTTATATTGTTTGCCTTAATATACAGGGGCTATGTACTAAAGCCCTTGGTATCATATATTTCTTATTATCTGCTGTACTCTGGTATGTAGTAATCAAGTCCATGCATCTTAAACAAATAACTGGTTAATTATTATTCCCGTATTTTCATTACCTATCATTTTAGAAAGAAATTCAACAGCCTAAATTGTATTTAGTAATACCATAACTCAACTACAATAATTTTATTCTCCAGGCATCTCAACAGTTGAACTCAGGTGCAGCATTTGTAACTCTTCAAAACCAGAGCCAGACCATGGCACAAGCACAATCACAGCAACAAATTTTAGTCAATTTACAGAATCAAGTGGTTGGTTCACTGGCCGGCAATGCCCAAATCCAAAACATTCAACAGCAAATGGCTGCGGGCCAAGCGATCTCTTTTAGTCAGCAACAATCTGCAGCTGGTCAGCAACAATTATTCAATATGGCTTCTCAATCGAGCCCAGCATCTCCTTCAGTTCTAACCAAAACACTAATTCAACATTTGACGCAACCAGCACAAACCACACAGAGTTTGCCAAGAACTGATGAATTGAGAGCATTTTTGACAAAAAGAACTGAAAGTATTGTTTCTGAATCGGTAAAAAATATTCCAATGAGCACAATTCCACATCATGTACCAGAAACATTTGCCCCTACTGTTTCAAACTTATCAACTACTGTGTCACAGTCTCACCCATATACAATGCCAACATTCGTTCAAAGCCCAACCACCAGCAAATTACTGCTACCTTCACCACAGTTACTACCTACTGTATCCTCACCAGGGTTAGCGTTTTTAGCGCAAGTTAGTTCTTTATCTGCAAATCAGCAGTCATTATTGAATGAAGTTACATGTACAGCATCGTGTTCAACAGTACCACATTCTTCACCTGTGTTCCAGCATCCACATATACCCACTAATGTTGTGAGTAGCGAAGGTAATATAAAGCTAATATTTTTAAGAAATTTAATTCATTTTTTGGTGGCGCTCCAGAAGTGTTTGTACCAATATGGAGGTAACTAATTTTGTTCATCTACTTTGCATCAAGTTGTGTAAAGGGACTGAAACCTATAGGCAGGGGGTATATTCACTTGGCTAACACAGACAACCTTCGAACTCGTAATAGAACTAAAATAAGGAATATCGGATTAAAATTATGGCCTAACCCTAACCTGGTACTTTTTTGGTTCTATTTCAAGATGTTGGTTTTAGATTTGTAATTTATTTTATATATAATGCAACTTTAAACTCATCTATAATACAGCTGTTAAATTTGGTTTTGTTTATTTGAAAATATGATCAAGTTAACATCTGTTTAAAGATGTATTTTGCAATTTGCAAGAAAATGGAATTGGAAAGATCTTACAACATTTGGAATTATACTAATTAACAACTACTTTTTCCTAATTACCGTAGTTTTTAGTTCGCTAATTAAAAGCTGAATTAAATAAGAATTGTAGGTCTCATAAATGTTTTAAAAATTTTCTAAAGGCTAAAGAGATTAAAAAACAATACTTAGAATCTCAGAATTTATTGTCACTTATTCTAATTCATGAGTATTTCATATTTTTTAGTGAATAACAATAGTATTGGAACAATGTCTTTCAACATATCAAAATTAAACACCCCCACATCTGAATCCAATGGTTCTACAATGGTTTCCAGCACAACAAGACTTGGTGACGATAGGTAGGTAATACCCATGATTTCTAGCAGTGATTCACTGAAACAATTTTGTTTTATACTGAATAATAGAAATGGAAATTGGTTATAATCATGAAATTTAAGGTAACTAACACATACAACTGTATGATTCTATGAGGTACAACAGTATACAATGCCATGAAGTTGCACTTTATTATTTGAGATTTTCATATGAACGAAAAAAAATACTTATTACATTGGACTTTAGTAATATATTCTATGAAATATTAAATAAACAGTGATTGACCTCTTTGCTTGATTTTTCTAAATTAAATTTTATTATTTTTTTTCAGCAATTCATCAATACTTGATGGGTCATCAGGTGTAGATCCTGGTATTGTTCTTCATGAAATCACAGAAACAACGGATTTTACATTTCCAAGTAATAATATTAATGCGCAGTAAAATAGAATTGTTAATTACAGGATTGAGTAATAGGAATATTTTTTCTATGCTTAGAATGAAGTTTATTATGCCCTTATAATGGTCCACTTGGTTAGTTAAATACCATTGGCGGGGCAGAATCAGTTTTTTTTATATTTGAAAATTACAGTTGAGTGAGGGTATTTTATAGAATCTTTTTTGATTTTTTGTGCAATGAGTATTGAAATAAGTAGATATCTACTTTAAGGGATATGTTGTTTTCTGAATTGATTATTGTGTGGTATGATAAGATAAAAGTATATTGTGCTTACAATTACTATCTATTTGTTTACAGGTGAATTAAATATTGATGAAAAGAATTTCACTGTGAAGAAAAGTAAGAGAAAAATTTTGCAAATTGCAAATTGAGTAAAATTATAAAACATTTTTTCTTTTAACAATTTAGGAAAATGTTTTGTAACATTTATATGTGGAACAAAACACAATTAGTAGAGAGGAAATGAGTGTATATGAAAGATTCAATTGCATGTTATATGAAAGACATACAATTATTTCATAGTCTTCATCTTTTCTTAGTTTTTTTCAACTTTGAAATAGGATTATCAATAATTATTACATTTACTTGATATGTATGCGAATACTTACTGTAGATTTTCTATATGGTCTATTCTATATGATTTTCTTACGCATATGGTTTAACCCTTTCCGTGCGTTTTTATTTTTTATTGAATAATCTTATTTGCTACGCCGATTTTATGCATTTGTTCCCCCACAACTAATCGATCGACTAATGAAAAACTAATGATCCTCTGCTGCCCACTGATGGCTCGTTGGGAAGCTTATTTAAAGAGCTTGCAGTTGGCGATTAAAAAAAAAAGTTTTTTCAAAAGTGGTGGTCTGAGTCACAAACCGGATAGAAAAAGGGCATTTTTTTTCTTGGGAATTGGAACTTCAAACCGTGATAAAAAATAGAAATATTCGCTAAATCCTTAACTGTTACCGCTTCGTGGTTCGCAAACAATAGCATAATGTTGCTGTAGCAATTTCGTGATCTAACTCAAAATACTTTGGTAGATGGAAGAGATATTATGTCTTCTATTACCACCCAAAAAACACCGAAATTTGCATAAATTTCAAAATCACTCCTTCGTTCCGCCGCAAATAAAATTCCCGTCGTAAACGAAAGCGAGATTTACCGTCGCTTATGTTAATCTCGAAGAAGACTTCTTATCAATAAACTAAAACCCAGAAAAACTGGACCAACAGTTTACGACCGATTGCTAAATAAAACTATGGGTAACTTGAAGTACCCGCCGCGATCTAGCGAGTTTTGTCGTTGGAACGAATACGTGCCCACCGCAAGGAAAGGGTTAATAAGCTGTAATCTGATCTTATAATTCATAAAATAAGTGTCAAATATAGTTCTTCCTATTATACTTATATCATTTTCTTATTTGCTCTTCAGATATTGAGAAAAGGAAGAAGGAACTGCCTTTCCCACCAGTGGTCAAAGAAAAGCGAAAGAAAGGTCCGGCTCCTAAACTAGATGGCACAGAAATCTGTCTGATATGTGGCGATCATGCTTCTGGATATCATTATAACACACTCAGTTGTGAGGGATGCAAAGGTAAAAATTTTATTACCTGAAAAGCTGAAATACTCGTAGGGTCAGATTACTCATCTCGAATTCAATTCTCATACCTGCCGCCTCACTCACTCAAATTAAGTAGACAATGATAAACGCTAAAGATTTTGGTCTTTCCAAAAATATTAGCTCCTTACATACCAGTAATTTCTTGTCCAGTCCTTGGTTGGAGAGAAAGCATGAATAAGTATTGTATAAAAAACAATGGTAAAATTTATAGTATTCTTATATACTACCTGCATAATTCATGAAGCATTTGAATAATGCAGCAATATTCTAAACACATTTTTAACTCTGTATTCTAGTTGTTAAAAAGAAAATACCTGATATCATGCTAAAGACTCTGGTAAAAGTAAACCATAATATTATGCAGACTAATATTAATTAACAGTTGACAGTAGAAATATGAAAGTTAAAACCATCCTATAATTACTTACAAACCTGTCTTAAAAGCAAGGTCTCTAGCAGTTATTCAAATGTAAAGCAAATAATTTATTGTGTCTGGAACAAGAATTCCTATGCATTATTATGTTAGACAGTGTTTCATAGTTGGGAGTCATTGTTTTTTTTTCAGGCTTCTTTCGAAGAACAGTTATTAAAGGTGCAAATTATCAATGTAAAGCACAAGGAGATTGTCAGATGGATTTATACATGAGAAGAAAATGTCAAAAATGTAGATTCGATAAATGTAAACTCGTTGGCATGAGAGAAGAATGTAAGTTGGCCTATAGTACATGTGTATTATGTATTAAAATCAGAATTGTTTTTTTTCATGCCAATTTTATAAAGATGTATCGGACGTTTATAGCTGAGTTATATGCTCAATATATTTGTTTCTGAGGGTTGAATGTGGAGATTATTCTCGCAAGAGAGAAGATAATAGCTAGTATTCTACGATTTTTCTTGTTCAATTTTAGTATATATTTCTATTTTATTACTTATCGATCTTTAGATTGGTACGTATGTTGATAGGTATTTGTCTGTCTGTTTGTCTGTTAGATGCACGCGATATCTCACGAAAGCGTGGTTGAATCTGCTCCAAATTTTGCATGTGCATTCATCATATCTCGGACCAGAAGCATATTGATTTTTGATGAATTATGTCGTATAATTAGCGAGTTATTAATTAATGAGTGATGAGACACGCGGTGTCACTATAGAGTCATGAATCGAAACCGCAGTTGCGATCGATAAGTATTCGGTCTTCGACCGATATTCTCGTTATTTTATTTTGTTACATTCATTATAATCATGAGTTGGAATTTTTTTATGATATTATTTTATTTTCCTGTTCGGCTTAATACCGTAAGTTCAATTTTTATCGTAAAGAGAATTTATATTGGCATTACAGGCCTAAAATTTTGTACCAAAATCCCAAGCCCACCACCTCATCCAAGGTGTAATAAATTAGGTAGGTAATGCCGAACCTGGAAATAAGCTTATCTAGAAGTGACTTCTTGTACAAAGACTTTTTCAGAGTGTAAGGCATTTCATCTAGAGCAGGGGTGGGCAACCTTTTTCGGCTCGCGTGCCAAAATCGGCTGAATATAAAGACAAAAGTCTTCCGCGTGCCGACCAAAACAAAAAACAATGCTTTGCTACTTTAAAAGCAAAAATACACAAGAATAAACCTTTTAAACGTGTACAGACAAATTCACTATTCAGGAAAATTCGGGGTCGAACCCCCCCCTTTTGAAATTTTCGGAAAACTAAAAAAATCCAAATGCGCCCAAAATTTACGCAGGAGTTTTTTATTATAATCGCCTAGTGCAGGGGTTCTCAAACTTTTGGCGTTGCGGAGCCCTTGAAAAGGTTGACTAATATTCACGGAGCCCCATAATAAATGTTAAAATTGTTACTTTCCGATTAATATTCCTGAGTAAGTTAAACGTACTTTTACTCAATTTAAATACTAAACACTTTTATTAGGGTCAATAGAAGTCATAAATAAATCTCGTGGGGAATTATGAGTTCAATGTGAAAAACATGTTACCATATTATAATCATCGGCGACGAAATGCTAAAAATAATAGTTAATAAAGAGGTAAATCCGCAATTCAAATTTCTTGTTTAAAAAGCGGCATTCTAAAATATTAGAACTAAAACTTAAAATGGAAGATAACACCATAAGTTTTGTTTCAGCAGACTCACGTCAGAATAAAAACGCTGTTATAGACATCGTAAATCATAAATTTGGTGTTATGTTAGGTTTTCGGTTATTCATCGTAGTAACTGCGAAATTGAAACACAGTCAATTAATTATGCGCGCGGTGTACCATTTTTCCTTTCTGAAACTACCGACAGAGCCGCATGCACTAAAATAAATTTCAATCGTTCGTATTTTGCCAAGACCTTGTGATTTTTCAAACGGCGACATCTTGCTTAAAAATAATCTCGAGTGCGAAAGAACAAATCAAGTTTAACAAATCCCAAGATCACAAAAATACGACTCCAATTTATTTATAGTTAGCAGTTTATCACGCAGTTTATATTATTTTAGAATAGTATTTTATCATTTTAGTAATCCTAATAGTAATTTCGAATCGAACGTGAGTAACGATGAGCACAATTAAATTATTACGACAAGACACTTTAGAATTTAGATGCTCGCATCGGTCATGAATTGAATATTTTACGCAACAGAAATCTCGTTATCCGTTTTTTTTTTTAATTGCCAAGAATGTTGCGCGTAAATTTCCGATTCCAATTTTGAACCTCCTCCCTCTTAAAAATCCTGGCTGCGCTCCTGCTTATAAAAATAATGTCATTTTTTAATTCCACCCCTTTGCCATATTTCGAGGCTATATTGTTGTCAAATTTCATCAAAGCTGTTATTGCTTCTAGGAACAGTTTTAAATTAGCCAAGTCAGTATTTTGAAAAGTAATTGAATAGCTCGCGGAGCCCCTGGGTTACTCTCGCGGAGCCCTGGGGCTCCGTATGGAGCACTTTGATAACCTATGGCCTAGTGTTTTCGTAAGCGTTACGTGATTATTTATTCTACATCATCTTTATATCGGTTCCGTAAATTTTGTAAAACAAAGTATATCCCCACGATAATCAGTTTTTCTCGCAGTACCGTGCCTTCGTTGAGAGAAACGCGTTACCACGCGAGCCTCGGCGATTCGAAGGTGAGAAATGTAGTTAATACGCAACCCGAGTTAATCAGTTTTTCTCGCAGTACTGTGCATTCCGTGAGAGAAACGCGTTACAACGCGAGCCTCGGCGATTCGAAGGTAATAAATGTAGTTAATACGCAACCCCGATCTGACTGTCAATCAACAAATGTTAATACTATACGCTAACTTGCCGCTTCCTAACCTTATCGACTGTAATCACATTCTGGCATCTGCTGTAAAATTAACTCCCTAATTTTGAAGTGAACAATATAATTATATTGTCACTGACAATATAACGAGATCGTCACTGATTTCCATAGGACGAAAATACGCCCGAGTATAATATTTAACTTTTGTCGAACTCGAATGCAATTGGTAAATGTCGAAATCTGTGTATGAGAATTACTCGCAAATATATTTCACTGCCATATTTACGGACTTCCCGATGGACGGGATTCCACAATAATACCCGCTCCTCGCCCAGCTCAAGTAATTATTAGGAAATTGAAAGTACCATTCGAAAACATTTAATAACAATAAAAATCAAACAAATTTACTGTACAGTACTAATTTCAAACAATTGAAAAAAAAAGATAAATCACAGTGCCATTTTCAAGCGTCTAGCTTTTTTGGCAGAAAAGTCATCAATTAACTTTTCTGTTGCCCCCTTTACCTCACGATGAATTTGAAGCAATGCTAGGCCATTCAAGCGATCCTCTTTAATTGTATTTCGAAGATAAGTCTTCAGTGGTCTTAGCTGAGAAATTGATCTCTCAGCGGAAGCTGTAGAAACGGGCAATGTGGCGAGAATTTGCAACAGTTTTTTTATATTAGGATAAAAATCGGCATCAGCTGCATTGAATGCATCGAGCGCATTTCGTGGCAATTGTGTATTTATTGGATTTATATTTTTCCACTTTCGCTCCCACAAAGCCAGCTCCGCCTTGAAGATAGGCCAAGGATCGAGTATGTCCCGATATTGCTCGAACAATTTAATTAAAACAGTTGCTTCTTTGGGCATGTGTGCGGGGATTACGGAAAAACATTTTGCGACTTTTTGAAAGATATGACCGAATCTTTCCGATGATTCATCGATCATTCTTTTCAAAAGAGTTTTGAAAGTGTTTTCCCGTGTATTTTCTTCAAGTCGCTGTTGGGTGACATTTGAACGTAATCTTCTGTCGAATAAAGGAATTTTCTCTTTATTCAGCATTGTCAATATTTCTATAAATATTGCGGAAAATTCTCTTTCTGCGTTGTTTAGAGTCTATTGTAGCTGGTCCTGGACCGATCGCACCATCTCGAAACAGGAAAGGATGTCAATTTCCTTGGATTGCAGGGATATGGAGAGTCGAAGAGTTACTGCCAAAACATTTTCCAAAATTTTCAGGTTGCAAACGAATTCGGGCGTTCTAATTCAGTATTCAAAATTTTCAGCTTTGTCTGCGCTCACTGCATCACTCCAATGCCTGATTTGGCCAAGAGCATTAACAATGGCGGGAAACAATTCTGAAAATACCATAACAGCGTCGTGTCTCTCTACCCAACGAGTCTCACAGAGGGACTTCAACTTTGTGCACTGACTCGTTGGCATCAAAGCTGTTATGGCCTCGTTCAAAACGTTAGTGCGCTTTGGGCTTCCGCTGAAGAAAACTATCACATCTTGCATGTTTATTAGGGCCTTTTTCAAAACAGCATCACTGCATGCATGTGAGATTGCTAAATTCAAGCAATGCGAACTACAATGTGTGTAGCAAGCATTTGGATGAGCTTCTTGCACAATAGCCTGAACTCCTCTGAAGTTTCCAGACATATTCGCGGCGCCATCATAGCCCTGTCCCACAAGATTTTCCCCAGTTGCGTAGAGTGTTGAGTAGCAAATCCGCAAGTCCTCGTCCAGTCAAATCCTTTGCCTCCACAAATCCCAAAAAATCTTCTCTGATGACCCCTTGTTTGGATTCTTCATCTATGTATCTGATACAGATCGAAAATTGTTCCATCCGCCCTATATCGCTTGTTCCGTCGGCTAACACAGTGAAGAATTTGGCACGTTTAATTTTTCTAATTATATGTTGAAGAACCGATTCGCCACAAATTTCAATTATTTCATTTTGGATTTGCCAGCTGGTGTAAAGAGCGTTGAGAGGGGCGTTCTCGATGTATTTCTTCAAGCCAATATCTCCCGCTGAGATTCGGAAACGCAGGAGCGCTCGAAAATTCCCCTCGTTTTTAGTAGTTTCAAATTCTTCCGTCAGAGTTAGAAGACCCGAATCTCTATGACCTCGTAAAGATATATTTTGTCGATCATAGAAGCAAGAACTTTGCGGTTCATTCAACTTGGCGACTTCTGTGCGTGTCCATCTGCTCGACGACATTTCCCGATGTATGGGCCTTCAAAAAATTTCCACATCGTAATTGAGCGGTTGTATGATAGGACTTTTTGGAATGAGCTTTGATATCATCGATTGCGTTTTTCCAATTACACATTGGGCCTCTAACTAATTTCCCAAGTGTCGCACCACCTGCTTCAGCACGAGCAAATATTCTGCAAAACTTGCAGTAAGCGCCTTCGTACATAGGTACACCAGCCATTTAAATGTTCTAAGCCATGACCGCTGGAAAGTCAAGAAGACAGTCTTTCCCTTAACATTCCTTTCCTTCCGTGGAAATTTATAATCGTCGGAAGGCGTCCAATGTCTCGTCAGGTAATCAAATTTGGTTTGATCGTCAACACGAGTATCTGGAAACATGCCTATATCAAAAGGCAAAGTTATTGGAATTGCTCTTGTAGAGGCTGACACTAGCATCTTCCTCCTGACAAATTCTCTTAGAAGCCTGTGCTTGGCCGAAATAGGCCGCATTTGATAATTGTTTTTCTTTTGGTCGTTTGCTCATTGTAGAAATATCTATATGGCGAATGATCACCGTCATCGCTATCAAAGTATCCAACCCCGCGCATGAAGAAAAAAGTTAGTTGCGCCCTTGCGCTGTAATTAAGACCGCACGGGGAAAATTTATCAATACGCCTGCGCCGTTTGCATTCAGTGCTCTCCTACGTTCAATTCAGTGCCCTCGTTTAAACTTGGAACGCGCTAATAGAACACATTGAATTTGACATTATCATCAGGCAGCTTGTCTCATATTTTTATGTCCACAGATCGCCGTGATATTTTACTGCAGTAATGTTTCTATTTCACGTAAGAAGTCGCAACCGCGAGTTACGTTGGACACAAATTAAATTAATATATAAGGACATTTTAGAATCTCGTAGTTGGCATTAATTTAATATTTTAGGCAACAGGAAATTCATAATACGCTGAAAAGGCGGCTCTATTAACGAGCGCGTGTTTCGTGGTGACTGTTTAACAGACGGCACTGGAAATTTTCGGATTTCGAAACCCCCCCCTTTTGAAAATCCTGGCTGCGCGCCTGATTTGTAGCCATATGTCAACGAAAGGACAAAAAGAGTTTAAATACAATAGTAACCGGATGTTAACAAGCGATTATGAAATAAATAAACACATAAGTTTCATCAGATAATTCAAGAGTCTTGAAATTTTCTATCTGAAGGAGAATGAACCCGTTTCCGAGACATCGCTCGCGTGTCGATAATGCCAGGGGGTGCCCACCCCTGATCTAGAGTTTTCAGTCTTGAATAACCTTTGTATCTCCTTGACACATTATGAGATTAAATAAAAATCGTCACCTTTCTGTCCGTCAATCATCTTGGTGAGAAAGTTCAAAGGTATTGGTAAATAATTGGGTGACAATTTACCTGCTTGTAAATGATTGTTTGTTTGAACATGTAGTTTTGTGTTGAATTGGATAAATAAATTGTTTTTTCTGTGAATCTTATACACAAAATTGTATGAAGCTTGAATGCAAATTAAATAGCAGCTTTTAATAATTTTGTCAAAAATGTTAAATTTCAGTCTGTTTAAAATGGAGGGGCTGGGGGGATTATGTCATAACTTGTAACATCCTTGTCCCAATTGTAGGAGGCTCACTTCCTATTAGTACTTTAACCTTTTGCCAAAGCATCATATCTATCATAACCCAGAACATGGCATGATGAATCCCACTTCATATGATTACTTTTGCCCTACAATATATATCTACATTATTTAGAAACAAAGGGCAATTGTGGGACAAGTTTGGGATAAGTGGGGGCTAGTGTGCTAAAGAGGAAAAGTTGGACACAACATTATGAGATACTGCCATAGACTTGTATTTGTTAGATCTGTTACTTTTCATCACATATACTAATATCAACAATTAATATAGAGTCTGTACTCAAATTCAAGTAAACTAATTTAAATGCTATATTTTAAAGGTGTTTGTCAGAAGAAAAAAAGAAAAACAAAAAAAGAATGTGATTCGACCATCAATCCAACAGACATTTTGTCATCTTGTCCGGATGATCAGGCCATTCCCAACATTGACTCCACAACAGCGAAATTTAGGTCGACGTTTACTAAAAGAATGAAAGGAAGATTTCAAATGGCCAAACTACAGAAGATATGAAAAAGGGTTACGGTATGTGGGAAGATATCTATATATTACATTTTATATGTGTATCAGTGTTGTGATTCCGTAATTCCAATAAATTTTTTGCAGGTTGGGTGGGATGATGATGATACAATTCCATAGTAGGAGGCATGGGAGGATTGGGCTCATTTTACCGAACTTGTAGGTAATGGGGCGGTTGGTTGTGAATTTACCGAAAGCAACTACCCGGGTTTCTCACAGTGTTGCGAGAGGACCAAGTATGTGTATTTTCTGTTCCACATGTTTATTATTGTATATATGTACAAATGAAAGATTATTGAAGATGAAACAAGTTTTCTCTGAGAATACATATAACATATCAATTATATGTTAAAATTTTCTATGACTTCTACAAAATATCATGATTAATTTTGAATCTATTGTTCTCATTTGGTATATATGGGGAGATAGAAATTTAAAGAAAGCTAAAAAAGAGTAGTTAGATAGGGATGGACACCTTAAGTTTGAAGGTACAACTTACAATTACCGCCACCGGTATTATAGCTTGAAAGTTGATTATTTCGAAATAAGTTGGTTTGAAGTAAAATGAAATTTTATACTTTTTGATATTTGATATACTATACAGCAGTGGTTCTCATCTTTTTAATCTGCTTCCCCTTTTTAGAATTTGTCAAGTCTCGAGCCCCACCTCAAAAATAACAAGCTAACAATAAGCTACAAATAACAGATAGTAGGGTGAAAGTATGTTTTATTCAAAAAACATGTGGATGGAACGTAAATAATGAGCTAAATGTGAATTTCAAAAATAAGGCAGACAACCTCAAATCTAACGAATATTTTTATTTTCAATTAGCTCCACGCCCTCTCAAAAATTTGTCTGGGCCCCACCGTTTGAGAACCACTGCTATACAGGGTGACCCAAAAAATGGAACCCATACAACATGTCCCAGATGGACTGGAATACGTTTTATGGGTCACCCTATAAATAAGACACATGAATACTCTCAATTTGTGATTAATACAGTCTACAGATATAGTATTTTTAATCTTTATTATTTACTATGTTGAATCTATTTATCATTCAAACACACATTAGGTGTATGGAAAGTACTAATTCAAATAAATATGAAACTAAAGAATAATAAGATGCGACCATTATTTTTTTGTTTTATTTCACAGATTGTTTTGTTGAAAGCATGTGCGATTGAAGTGTTACTCCTTCGGGCAGCAAAGCAATATAACAAGCATGATGGAACAATAAATTTTTTGAACGGGATGTTGTATGATAAATCATGTTTCTATCGCGCAGGTGAAACATTTATTTTGTTTTCTAATTCTTTGTGTTTGTATGGATATAATATTAGGATTTTTCCATTACAGAGTATTTCATGGTAATTTTTTTTTATTATTTACAATTGTTTGGTAACTGGTGAGGCAATACGCATCCTCACTATATTGAAAATATTGTTTTACTGAACACAAAGTATACATAGGCCCCGTTTAACTAGATTACTGTCGTTCTTTTTGTTGGGAAAGAAATCTCATTTTTTGCATCTGATGGGCCAATCCGTTTCAATTTTCCAGTACTTGAAAATGGTTGAGGCAACTAGAAGGCTTTTATTTTTAATTTTTTAATTATTATTTTTTTGTCATTCATTTTCATGTTTCAATTTTATGTTGGTTTTCGTGTTTGTTCCCCTATGATCACTATTCGATCATATTTTATTTGATAAATGAATAATAATGATAGGTAAAGTAATGCCTTCAATTTGAAAGCTCTGGAAGTTCCAAATAAAATACATATATATGGTATATGTATGACGTATATGGTTATGAACTACAAAATGTCATTTTAGTCATTTTATTTTTTCAGGAATGCAGGTCGAATTTGTTGATCCTATTTTTCAATTTTGCAATAGCATGGCACAGCTTGATTTAGATGAAACGGAATATGCAATTTTAGTTGCCATTAATACTTTTTGTACAGGTGGGTACTTAACTTTTACGGGTAATGTAATTTTCAACAAAAAAACATTTCTTGTGACGTAGACAGTTAGAATACCAATTATTGAACTTTTACATCAGAGCGACATACCAAGTTGTTGAATAGTGAATACCAATTAAATTCGATAGGTGTTCCTATTGTATTCTATCCCCAATACCTCATTACTCAAAGACTTGCCTAAAATTCGATATCCTTTTTTAAAAATATCTGATTCGCTATATCAGAAAAGTACCCTATTTGAGAGCAAATTATTACACATTGCTCATACGATACAAAGTGAATTGCTGTCTCCAGCTGCTTAGAAAATTCCTGATGTACCTGAAGTTTTTCTTGCCATCTCTAATGAAAAACTGATTTTTGGCAACTATACAATTTTTATTATTATTTACAGATCGCCCACATATAAAAGATATAGGAAAAGTTGAATGTATGCAGGATCCTTATGTTGATTTATTAAGAGTTTATTGTAAAATAAGACATCCAAATGTAAGTACAGGCACATAGTATTTTAATTCACTAGATTTCTTAATCTTTTATCATGTGTATATCTCGCGGATTGTTCTTTAATTGTAGCTTGGATGTTGGCTTATCAGATAAACTCAAAAAGAAAGAAATGAAGAATTTTATATGTGCTAACTTTTTGAATTAAAAAAAAAGTTCTCGCAATCAGGTTATAATGGTTGTCAAGTTTGGTAACTCACAATTTAGAAAACTGATGGATGATATCGAGTCATAATTCATCAATTTTATAAAGCTCATATACTCTGGCGAGTGTTTTCTATGGCAACTCGTGACTCTTTGTAGAATGAGTGCCTTTCACTTTTGTGTGAGTAAGTTTAGTTTTACTTTGAACAACATCTTTTTACTTTTATATTCTCGACTCTCGTAGATGAGTTAGATGAGATAAAAAGTTATTATCCATTTTTTTTTTTATTTCTGCAGGATCCTTTGATGTTTCCAAGAATTTTGATGAAGATGGTTGAATTGCGAACATTGAATAATTATCACAGTGAACAAATATTTGCTCTTAAAGTTCAAGATAGAAAACTACCACCTTTGCTTGCTGAAATATGGGATATGTGAGATCACATCTCCACAAGTACAGACCGTACCTTATTCACAACGGCGAGGTTTCGTTCATATGATCATGGGGGATTCGCAAAACACTCTCGCCATGAACTACATACAAACCATATTCTCTCGGTGACTAGTGATCTACATATCTTAAGCGCACGAGAGGATCATGTTCAGTTTTGAATGCTGGGAGAAGGCAGTGCTCATGGGCCAAGAAAGGGATTTATAATATATGTTTATCTTTGTTTGTTGTTGAAATATATTTTCAATTGTTTGTATCATGAAATGTAATAATATTTCAGTGAAGTTTGTTTATTTCAACTCAGATTTCCATTAAATCTATCAATCTTATTTAGCATAACTATGGTATTTTGGGATATATTTGCTGTGTGTATCATGAATGATATTCGATTTTGCAATCCAATTGTTGATTCAGCAATCTTCTATTTTCCAGATTTAGAATTGTTCGAAATGCAGAGTTTTTAGATATATATTTCATATTTTTTGTATATGTCATTTGTGATATTTAATTTATCTGCTCTAGTGATGGTAATGAAATTATTCATTCTCTTAATAAATCTGAGAGAAACAGTTTGCAGTAGATTTTGTAATCACTGAGAACATATATTTTCAGAACATCATAGAAATGCTTTAGATTTCAACACATTTGCTACCTCGTGCTGGCAAGATTTAAACTTAATGTCTAAACACACAACTTTTTGCAACTTATAATCGGTAAAGGTGCTACGAAGTAGTTTAATGGCCGACACAAATTTCATCTGGATAAGTGACTGTTCATTGCTTCATCAGACCACTGTTATAGTCTCGCTAAATGGGGTTTCATGGGACACATGAGTCTGTTGCAATATAACAGTCGAGAAAACTTGCTCGCGGGAAGTCTGATATTTTTACGTAATTATTCCCCACCGCAATGGTACAGGTCAACGGAGGCATGTTTCTAACGCCCAACACCGTGCACGAATTTGTGGTTCAGTGTGTAAGGATTCGTGAAAGGTTTATATATGCTTAACATTTCTTCTGATATTGACATGTGACGGGAAGGCCAAAAACGTCCTTGACTATCGAACATCCGTGGGTGCGATGTGGGTGTGTGGGACCAAATGTTTCGCACCGCGTGTCCCATCACTAATCCATTAATAACTCGCTAGTTATAAGATATAATTCTTCTAAAATCAATTAGCTTCTGGTCAGAGATATACATGATGAATGCACATGCAAAATTTGGTGCGGATTCAACCTCGCTTTCGTGAGATATCGCGTACCATACGAAAGTGTCTAACAGACAGATAAACATACAAATACCTATCAACATACTTACCGATCAAGATCGATAAGTAACTAATCGAAGTTAATTGTACCTTTGTAAGCGTACCGGTTAGCCATTGCACACGGCCTCCGTATAACTACTCGGTGAAATCTACTAACACAGCATACGTTTTGACATGTGCTTTTGCAATTTTGTAGCACTTTGTTCGTCGCAATCATGCTTTTGCATCATACTAACCCTGTATTCTGCTGTATCCGATTTTAGAGTTTACTGGTATATACATTTCGTTAACGCAAGTCGCTTATCTTGAGATAACCCGATTTGAATTTTTTTGTCTTTTTCCTCGTACTAAACCTGAAAGCTGGGACAGTTATGATTATAGCGGCCATGTTGTTATGTACGACAGTGAATGAGTGACGAGATATGGTTTGCGTTAGGTTGCGGATGGGGTACCGTACCAGTAATAATCAGCCAATACTGCAATAGCAGGAGTCAGTCGCCAACCAAATACCAAACCTGTTTCGGTACTGTCGCATGCCAGAAACTTCATAATAATAACCATGCGCTCGGTAACACAATCTGAACATAACTTATTGAAACAAATTATATATATGTGAATGAAACGCATACAAAAAATTTCACTTGTATCCAGTGTTTCTAAACAAAACGTAAACAGGTGCGCCCAAAGAGCGATTCTTGTAGTATTCTGGTGGTACATTTGTATGTTGAATAAGTCACTCTTGTACAAGTAGTATCTTAAAGTTTGTTAATGAATGGCTTGTCGGTTGAGGGTTAGCCATGCCTCCCATCACGCCTCGGATTTACCAGCTCCAGCTGAAGTTTTCGAACCCTCTTGGCAGGTTAGGGATAATTACTGAATTCTGTGCCAGAGGTTTGCCGGACTCCCCATTGCTGCACTGTGACTCCACAATCTGACTATCTTTTGAACAGAGCGGAAGAAAACGCCATTGCACTGTTGCAAATGTATGGAGAGTCGCAGTTCTTACCACTTCACGGCAGCTCCTGCCATGAACGTACCGCGGCGTCTCTTGCCATGGTTTTATGGCGCTATTCAGTAATCAGTATTACCGGTTTAATTCAAAAGTCATGTACCAGATTTTAGTTTATCATGCGGAATTATATCTACTTGAACCCGAAACCTAACCCTGAATCCATCAAAACTGTAGCCAAAAGAAATTCCAAAATTTTTTGTTCCGTATGTGAGAATAGCACAGGATCAAAACTTAAAAGACATCCGATTATTTGGTTTTTACGAGACTATCTACTTATCCTACTTCTATGCTTTTGTGCCGGTGGATCCGTATGCATATATTGCAAGGATGCTGTAGAGAGAGTAGAGATAACAACCCTAAGTGATTTAGGAGTCTTGCTGCACACTAACAGAAATAGATTTGTGTAACGTTTCGTCTGACCAAGGTCAGACTTCTTCAGACAGGGGTAGAAAAATTGCAATTTTTTATCGAATATTTTGAACGAATACGGAATAGTTCTAATCTACAATCGACCAGGACGTGGCGAGTCGATAATAATTCCAGAAATTAAACTTAATTGAAAGTAACTCATAGCATATCGTGGGGTATCTGTGGATGCTTGCATAGGGTCTTGTTCGAAGCGACAAGTATTGAATGAGCATCATATGAAAAAAAATCGTCCGATTTTGTTATAATCGCTGTATGTTTGGTCAGCGTGATTTTTCCTGCTGTCCACATCATAACCTCGGTAGAATATCTTTCTTCCAATTTTTTCTCAATAATGTAGCATATTAAATATCGTCTAGAATAAAATTTATCTAGATTATTATGTGGCTGTAGTGGTAAAGGGTTTATGCGACAAACAGCATGTTTCATCATTTTTTTATTGTTTCGCTATTTTCTTACTTCATCTAGACATGTGATTCCTAAAAACGAATGAAAAAGCATCTTCATTTTGCGGTCTCCCCCCACCCTCTTTGTTTCCTTATTATATTCACACTTTTTTCTTGCCACGTCAAAATTTGTCTGCGCTCAGGTGTCTTTTCAAATTTGACGCCGTAAGGTGAGCACTGATTTCATGTTTGTGGATTTTCAGGTTTAATGGTATATGTGCATACTTGTGTGGCTAATTTTTTCATAATCCAACGCTTGCATCTCCAGCCATTTTTCATATCTATACTAATGCAGTTAAACTAAGCTTTGGCCTACAATTATTGATTCAAATGTCTACAGTGGAAGTGGAATTGAGATTACAAGATCTGAAATTGGTGAGATAATCTAAATCGGCAATGATTATTAGAGATAATTCTTTCTTTCAGTTAGTTAGGTCATAATGTAAAACTAAATGATTCCCAGTGTGCAATTATTGAATCAAAGACGACGGCGTAAACAAATGAAGGCGATCGAGAACAATGAAATGTTCAATTTAGAACAAGTAAGAAACCTAAAACCGCATTCAAATTTACGCTTTGAATATATTCCATATATACGAATTGCCATATTCTTGCTTTTAGCTTGTGTGAGCTTCTATTCAACCTATATAGTGCATCTTAGTCATGTTACGTATTTCAGATGCAAACTGACTGAACGTAAACGAGCTGCGAATGTTGACATCGGAAACTGCTTGAGCGGAACAAAAACTACGGGTAAACAAATATTCATTAAATTATGGATTACAGTCAGGCCATAATATAGCACTAGATTGAATTGAGAGTATACTTGTGTCGAATAAAAGACCCCCGGGAAGGTATGCCTGTGCAATGATGTTTGGACCATTTCATAAATAAGATCTACAATCTACATCATTGATGAATTAAAAACTCAACAGAGATGCGGTTGTGTTGGGATGTTCCGTATATAGTACAGGTGATATTATTTGCTTAATTATTTTTTCCAATCATTTCAAAGGTCACTTTTGTTGTTTATATCCCAAACCTTTTTTGTCATGTCAAGAATTTATGTGGGCCCAAGTAGCGTTCTCCTTTTCCTAGGTTTAAGCTACAATTGTTGATTCTGTAACGTAGAAAGTTGTGTTGCTGCCATGAATGGTCTTCTATCTGCGTACCGATATCCGATAGTCCCGTCGTATCCGATAGTCCCTTCGACTACTTACGACTTTAGTTATATATTAGACTTCTATGATCCGGACTCCGATATAAAGCAATATATATATTAATCAGAAGGTATACGTGTTCTATTGGGGATCCTTGAATGGGATAGTTGCGGGTTTCCCTCTATATTTCCTACCTTTCCCCCTTTCATTCTCTTTTCTGCCTGTGCTATTTTGGGTTAGGTTGGTTTATTTAAAGGCTTTTGGAATTTCTCCGTTTTGTGGATAAATTCTCTATCTTTATTTATTACTTTTTCGGAAAGAAAGTTTATTTTCAACCAATCAGAAACTAGTTAGTTTCGTTTTCTATAGGAGAAATTTTGGTTGAGCAATATTAATAATATTTCCAGTTTATAGCATCGGCGCAGTAATTGAGGTCAAATGTATTGTAAATATATAGCAAAATAGATCGGAATAGCACAGATTTCGTGGGAATATCGATGATCTCATTGTTTCAAGAACATGAGATCATTGCTTTATGCAGGTGGGAAAATACCTGTGTTCCTTTAAAGATTAAAGTCCACAATCAAAAATTAATTCTGCATATATATTCGATAATTTTTGCAAAGTAACAATTGAAATTTGTTACAATTCAATTGCTACCAAGTGGGACTGTCGAGGTGGAATGAAAACGAAAGACACATGGAACTAATAGCTAAAGATAAACTAAATAATAATACAGTTAGGCCATAACATGATATTAAAGCGATGATTGATGCCAAATTCCTGACTCGAAGACTCGTGGAAGTTCAGTTGAAGAGAGGCGATCAAGGATTAATAAGGTAACTGTTAATTTATTTACATTTATAAGTGCAAAACCGCATGGCAATATAGTATACAATCTTGGTCAAACGAAGTGTTAGGGTTCCGTCAGTGTCATTGTATTGTCTTATATTACCCTTAACATGAATCTGATTACATATGGAGGTTTTATACTACTGGGATCTTGCGCTGAGAAACGTATATTTGTTGTAAGTGCTTTCAGGTTTACATTTTGAATAGTCTTCCAATTATTCGTCGTTTCGGCTGTTTGACAAATTCATTTATTCTAACGGCAATTAATAAATGATTTGGCTTCGTTTACAGCTTTCTCGTTTCTTTGAAGGCGATTTATATGTTTTTACAGTTATATGTTTACTAATGCAGTAATATTAGGCCTAAAATTATTGATTTGGGGTGGAATTGGATCACAAGTTCTGGAATTGTTGGCA